CAGTGGTTAGCAAAATCTTAAAAGTTAACCCCCATTACAAATTAAAAATTAAAGTTCTTTGGGCTAAGATTGACTCATGGGACAATGAAGCTGCATAAATCAGAGTTGATGGAAAAATGGTTTGGGAAAGAAGATTTTAATGGCATGAGGGTTACTTTGGTAAGATCTGTGGTTGCCCTGTCTTTGAATGGAAAACTATGTTTGCTAGAACTGAAGTGGATATTGATCATACTGGTGATTAAGCAAGAGTTGAATTCACTACAACTTTAGATGAAGCTCCAAACAACGAATCCTTTGGTTTAAGAGATTTATATATCTTCTATGCATCGTGTTCTGAAAATTGTGCTGAATGTACAGGACCTAAAGATTCTGATTGCAAGAGTATTAAAATTTATAATAATTTTAGAATGTGCAAATAATTGGGCTTTAGTTGATGGTAAATGTTAAGCTTTACCAAATTTCATTCTTTTAGAATAATCATTTTTGGAAGATAAATTTACAGGAATAAATGGATGGATTCTTAATAAAAATAAAGGAGGAAGATTAATTAATGAATGTAGTGGTAAATCTATGGTTGGAGGATTTGATATTATGGGTATTGGTGCTAGTGCTACTAAAACTTTTGATATACCTCCACATAAAAGACTTAGACTCTAATCAACTTTATACAAAATTGATTCTTGGGATGGAGAATTTATGATTATCAAAGTTGATGGAACTGATGTATGGAAAACTTCATGGAATCTTTAAACTGGAGGTGCTAATTTCTGTGGATAAGGAATTTGGTTTGATGGTATTGTAGGAGTTGATTAGATCTTTAATCATTAAGCACCCAAGGCAGAAGTTGTATTTACATCCACCTTAGATTAAGATGCTGCTGATGGTAATTAAATATTTTTTAATCTTTTAGAATCATGGGGTTTCAGAGATTTCAAATTATGGTATGAACCAAAAGAGGCTTGTGCAGTTTTCTATAGTGAATGCGATTACAAAGGAGCTTCATTTGAATTCTGTTCAAAATCACCTAATTTCTAAAAGGACAACATTCCCCCACAAATTAGATCTATTAAGATTCCACCTTAAGGAAGAGTGACATTATATGAAAGCACAGATTATAATGGAAAGAAAGTCACTTACACCTCAGATCAAGCTTGTATTCAAAACTTTGATGTAAAAATTTAATGTTATTGCTTTAGTTTTCATTGATTTAGATGAGTGGACATGTTGAAGGAGGTTGGATCGAAGTCGAACAATGATTCAAATAAATTTACAAAAAAACATAATATAAAAAATAATCATATCAAAATTTATTAATATAATGTTTTATTGTAGTTAGGTATAATCATGTAATTCAGATTAAAACAACCCAAGCTTTAATTTAAATAAATGATTCTTTTGATTCTTTTTTGACTTTAGATTAAACAGTTGATGATATTCAATCAAAAAATTTTAATATAAAATATTAATAAATAGATTGATTATTGATAATATTAATTCTTAACAATTTTCTTAAAATCTATATTTTTACACATTCTTTTTGAGTTTCATGTTCATTTTAGGTTGAATTAAGTTTGTAAATTTAAATACAAGATTAGATCTGTATAATGATTAAATAAATAATTTACAGGCAATTTTTTAATTTAATAAGCCAAATATAATTAAATATAAGAGATTTAAAAAATTTTTCTACAAATATTCTATCATTAATAGTTACTATTTCACTCTAAAAATATCAAAAATAATATATTATATATGAAATAAAAAAATTTACAAAGAAACTCTTTTGATATCTAGACTTGGAATTCAACAATTTAAATATATTATTTTTTTTTATTGTTAAGTTAATTCTAACCTTATTTAATCTATCTCTATGATGAATTAAGTGTATTAAATGTACTAATTGATTTCAATAATTAAAATAAATATAATTTAATAAATAAGATAATAATAATGGATTCTAATGAATAAGATAAAGAAATATAATTTTTATAGAAAAGGGTTAAATTGATTCAATAAGAAAATGAATTATTAAGAAAAGAAAACCAATTATAAAGATAATCACTTGCTTAAATGAAAAATACATTTACTAATATCATCTCAACAAAAAGAGTTAAAACAGCAGATGGAAGAAATAATTCAGTTTCTGAGTATATTTCATTATGAAATAACTTAGACGCTTTTAAAATGAAAATACCTTAAGATAAGTATTAGAAATGCAAAGAAATCGAATTAATTAATTAGAAAACGGCAATGAATAATATAAATAGAAATATGAGAAAAAATTCACAAATAATTAAACAAAATAAATCTTTTTTTATGAATATGAACTTATTGTAATTTTTTGTAATTTAATCTTCTTTACAGTAAAAATATTTCTTTGTGGCTTCCATGCCAACATATTATTAACTCAGAAGAACTAATCATATCAAAAAATTTTTTTAATATATATAAAATATAGATAAATATTCAGCTCTTACATAATTGAAATTACAAACTCTTTGAAAATTGAAAATCCAAGAATTTATTCTTAAGGCCTTATTAATTCAAGATATTGCAGCAAAACACTCTTTTTTTAGATTATTCAAATTCAAAACAAAAAGGGTTGCAAAATTATTATAAACATACTCAACCCTATAACACATATTTTTAATGATTTATCATAATAGGTTTAAGCTATTATTATTAATAATAACAAAAAGAATGATAGCATTTCAATAGATTCTGAAAAAATTGTATAAAACACTATTATTCACAGAATTAATCAAATAAAAATATTAAAAAGTATTTAAAAAATTTCCAGAAATTATAGATATTACGTATTTTATAATCTAAAACTTAAATATCTGATTTAATATTAATTTCAATATAAAAATTCGTTTTTTAAGTATTATTGAAACCTGATATCAAATAATAATATTTTATGAAAAATAGAACAGTTGTCCTATTGGTCATTATCTACAGTGCTATTTCAGTTCTTGGAGAACCAGTTGTAGTATCATAGTCATTCTAAGGAAATGGGTTCAATGATGCAGATGGTAATTTTATAATGTAATTTGATAGGTTGGGTTGTAGCTGGTGGACTAGCTCATGTTACTGAGTGCAGTGGCACAAAAATGTTTGGAGGCTTTGGTAAATTTGGTGGCAAAGCGGTTGCAAGCAAGTTATTTGAATTGCCTCCTCACTCTTCAATAAACTTGAAAGTTTAATTCTGGAAGTAAGATATATTACTAAGTTTCTTAGAATTGATTCATGGGATAATGAAGAAGGATACATTTTTGTAGATGATTAACTTGTATGGTCAAGAAAATTTAGACACAATGAAGGTGATGGATAAAAGTGTGGATAAGGTGGTGATTGGAAAGAAATGACCCTTAATCTTGATTTAAATATAAAACATACTGGTGCAACTGCTGTTGTTATATTTACATCAAATTTGAATGAAGCTGCCGATAATGTATATTTTTTTATCTTAAGAAATAGGAATCTTGGGCCATAAGAGATTTTGTTTTATCTGTAGAAAGATGCCCAGAGGATTGCTCTGCTTGTTAGGTTGATGACAAGGCTGAAAATTGCTAATTCTGGTAATCATTTTCTAGCAGTTGGGGAGCTCTAGATCATAACTAATTAGGAGCTGATGGTTGGGAAGTTGCAGGTGGATAAAAGTCAGCTACCGATTGTGGAGGTAATGAATTTTAAATATCTTTTTAAAGGTGTTGCTTTATTCGGTGGATTCGATAAAACTGGATCAAAAACAGTGGTTAGCAAAATCTTAAAAGTTAACCCCCATTACAAATTAAAAATTAAAGTTCTTTGGGCTAAGATTGACTCATGGGACAATGAAGCTGCATAAATCAAAGTTGATGGAAAAATGGTTTGGGAAAGAAGATTTTAATGGCATGAGGGTTACTTTGGTAAGATCTGTGGTTGCCCTGTCTTTGAATGGAAAACTATATTTGCTAGAACTGAAGTGGATATTGATCATACTGGTGATTAAGCTAAAATTGAATTCACTTCAACTCTAAATGAAGCTCCAAACAACGAATCCTTTGGTTTAAGAGATTTATATATCTTCTATGCATCCTGTTCTGAAAATTGTGCTGAATGTACAGGACCTAAAGATTCTGATTGCAAAAGTATTAAAATTTATAATAATTTTAGAATGTGCAAATAATTGGGCTTTAGTTGATGGTAAATGTTAAGCTTTACCAAATTTCATTCTTTTAGAATAATCATTTTTGGAAGATAAATTTACAGGAATAAATGGATGGATTCTTAATAAAAATAAAGGAGGAAGATTAATTAATGAATGTAGTGGTAAATCTATGGTTGGAGGATTTGATATTATGGGTATTGGTGCTAGTGCTACTAAAACTTTTGATATACCTCCACATAAAAGACTTAGACTCTAATCAACTTTATACAAAATTGATTCTTGGGATGGAGAATTTATGATTATCAAAGTTGATGGAACTGATGTATGGAAAACTTCATGGAATCTTTAAACTGGAGGTGCTAATTTCTGTGGATAAGGAATTTGGTTTGATGGTATTGTAGGAGTTGATTAGATCTTTAATCATTAAGCACCNAGGAAATTTAGACACAATGAAGGTGATGGATAAAAGTGTGGATAAGGTGGTGATTGGAAAGAAATGACTCTTAATCTTGATTTAAATATAAAACATACTGGTGCAACTGCTGTTGTTATATTTACATCAAATTTGAATGAAGCTGCTGATAATGTATATTTTTTGATCTTAAGAATTAGGAATCTTGGGCCATAAGAGATTTTGTTTTATCTGTAGAAAGATGCCCAGAGGGTTGCTCTGCTTGTTAGGTTGATGACAAAACTGAAAATTGTTAATTCTGGTAATCATTTTCTAACAGTTGGGGGGCTTTAGATCCTAACTAATTAGGAGCTGATGGATGGGAAGTTGCAGGTGGATAAAAGACAGCTACCAATTGTGGAGGTATTAATTAAAAATATCTTTCTAAAGGTGTTGCTTTATTTGGTGGATTCGATAAGACTGGTTCAAGAGCAGTGGTTAGCAAAATCTTAAAAGTTAACCCCCATTACAAATTAAAGATTAAAGTTCTTTGGGCTAAGATTGACTCATGGGACAATGAAGCTGCATAAATCAGAGTTGATGGAAAAATGGTTTGGGAAAGAAGATTTTAATGGCATGAGGGTTACTTTGGTAAGATCTGTGGTTGCCCTGTCTTTGAATGGAAAACTATGTTTGCTAGAACTGAAGTGGATATTGATCATACTGGTGATTAAGCAAGAGTTGAATTCACTACAACTTTAGATGAAGCTCCAAACAACGAATCCTTTGGTTTAAGAGATTTATATATCTTCTATGCATCGTGTTCTGAAAATTGTGCTGAATGTACAGGACCTAAAGATTCTGATTGCAAGAGTATTAAAATTTATAATAATTTTAGAATGTGCAAATAATTGGGCTTTAGTTGATGGTAAATGTTAAGCTTTACCAAATTTCATTCTTTTAGAATAATCATTTTTGGAAGATAAATTTACAGGAATAAATGGATGGATTCTTAATAAAAATAAAGGAGGAAGATTAATTAATGAATGTAGTGGTAAATCTATGGTTGGAGGATTTGATATTATGGGTATTGGTGCTAGTGCTACTAAAACTTTTGATATACCTCCACATAAAAGACTTAGACTCTAATCAACTTTATACAAAATTGATTCTTGGGATGGAGAATTTATGATTATCAAAGTTGATGGAACTGATGTATGGAAAACTTCATGGAATCTTTAAACTGGAGGTGCTAATTTCTGTGGATAAGGAATTTGGTTTGATGGTATTGTAGGAGTTGATTAGATCTTCAATCATTAAGCACCTAAAGCAGAAGTTGTATTTACATCCACTTTAAATTAAGATGCTGCTGATGGTAATTAAATATTTTTTTATCTTTTAGAATCATGGGGTTTCAGAGATTTCAAATTATGGTATGAACCAAAAGAGGCTTGTGCAGTTTTCTATAGTGAATGCGATTATAAAGGAGCTTCATTTGAATTCTGTTCAAAATCACCTAATTTCTAAAAGGACAACATTCCCCCACAAATTAGATCTATTAAGATTCCACCTTAAGGAAGAGTGACATTATATGAAAGCACAGATTATAATGGAAAGAAGGTCACTTATACATCAGACCAAGCTTGTATTCAAAACTTTGATGTAAAAATTTAATTTTATTGCTTTAGTTTTCATTGATTTAGATGAGTGGACATGTTGAAGGAGGTTGGATCGAAGTTGAACAATGATTCAAATAAATTTACAAAAAACATAATATAAAAAATAATCATATCAAAATTATTAATATAACTTATTATTTTTATTTTTTGTATTTATTAATTAGATTATTTAATAATATAGCAGCATCTCATCTTATCCTACTTTTTTGAAGAACTTCTTCATCAAAGTGTAATTAGTATCTAATCTAAAGCAAAATATATTACTAGCCAAAGCTTTGGATGAAGGTTTCTGGAAAGAAAGAGATAGAAATATTCAAAGAAATTATGAGATTTCAAATTACTTTTGCCAATAATTAAAGATCTGTTATTTCTTTTAAGCAAGCTTTAGAATTTAGATTAACCAAAGTTTTCTTTTAATTTGAATATTCAATTATGTAAGGATTTTCACTCTAAAAATATCAAAAATAATATATTAAATATGAAATAAAACAATTTACAAAGATACTCTTATGATATCTTGACTAAGAATTCGACAATTTAAATATAAGGATTGATTAATTATTTGATTTCTAAGCTAATTCTAACCTTATTTAATCTATCTCTATGATCAATTGAGTGTATTAAATGTACTAATTGATTTCAATAATTAAAATAAATATAATTTAATAAATAAGATAATAATAATGGATTCTAATGAATAAGATAAAGAAATATAATTTTTATAGAAAAGGGTTAAATTGATTCAATAAGAAAATGAATTATTAAGAAAAGAAAACCAATTATAAAGATAATCACTTGCTTAAATGAAAAATACATTTACAAATATCATCTCAACAAAAAGAGTTAAAACAGCAGATGGAAGAAATAATTCAGTTTCTGAGTATATTTCATTATGAAATAACTTAGACGCTTTTAAAATGAAGATGCCTTAAGATAAGTATTAGAAATGCAAAGAAATCGAATTAATTAATTAGAAAAGGACAATGAATAATATAAATAGAAATATGAGAAAATTCTGTTCTAGGATAAATCATAACCATATTCATAAACCCAGGTCAATGATTCAACAATAAAAGAGCTTTATGATTTAAGAAAAAAGAATAGTGAATTGGAATAAAGAATAAAAGAAATGATTAGTCAGCATTCTAAAGAATTAACTAACTATAGATCTAAGATTGCCCAATAGGATGCATAATTTATGGTCTCATAATCTTAGGGTTTTTCTACACCCCAATTATAGTAATCATAAAAATTAGAACCTCTTAATAATGGAGGATATTAGATACTAAAATAAGGTATAAAGAAATACTGAATTTTATAATACTGATCATATTATATTTTTAGTTATTAAACATTATATATATATTTTTTAATAATTATCATTAAAATGCAAGCAAATCCAGCTTTACACACTCCTGCAAAAAAGAATTGTACATTTGAAGTTGAAGGAAGACCTGATGGAGAAGGGTATAATAAAAATAAATTAATATTAATTCAGATATTTAAATTAAAACAATGCTATGTTCGGAATAATTGTGATATAAGAATGGTGGGGTTTGAATGAATCAATGGTTAAAACAACTGATAGAATAGCCAAGATGGGATTTTAATGCATCTCTCCTGATATTTATAGAGGTAAAGTAGCTCAAAATAGAGAAGTAAGATCAATTATTTTATAATAGGAAGCAGGCCATCTTTTGGGAGGATTAGATTGGGAAGGAGCTGTCAAAGATATTGAAGGAGCAGCAAAACATTTGAGAGAAATGGGATGTAAAAAGGTTGGAGTAACAGGATTTTGTATGGGAGGAGCTTTATCTATTGCAGCATTATCTTTTTCAGATTAAATTAATGCTGCAGCTCCATTTTATGGTGTCTGTGATTTGGATAAATTTAAATTGGATAATATAAAAGGACCTATTTATGGATAATTTGGTGAGAAAGATGAAATGAAAGGATTTTCCTCTCCAGATGATGCTTAAAGATTAGTTGAAGCGGGGTAAAAAGCTGGAAAAAATGTGAAAGTCAAGTAAATAATAAGTTTGATTATAGAATATGGCCAGGTGTTGGACATGCATTTATGAATTAAGACAGACCTGAAGCATACAATGCTGAAGTAGCTTAATAATCATTATAAGAAGTAGCAACTTGGTTTAAATAAGTATTTTCATAATAATTATGAATATATTATAAACAATATTTATATATGCAAAGATCCATCTTATAGTCAAAATTCTTATACTCATTAGTTTATCAAAAAGCAACTCCTACAACTACAATTGGTGGAAAATTACCTGTTTATGTCACACCTGCACCTTATGGTTTAGTTGTAATTTAGGAATGGTGGGGTCTAAACTCATCCATTTGTAAAACAGCTGATATTATGAGCTCTTATGGTTTTAAGTGTGTTGTACCTGACTTGTATAGAGGAAAAATTGCTAAGGATACTGAAGAAGCAGGACATCTACTTTCTGGATTAGATTGGAAATAAGCTTTAATTGATATAGAAGAATCTGCTCGTTATTTAAAAGAAGAATTACATTGCAAAAAAGTAGGAATTTTAGGATTCTGTATGGGTGGTGCACTTAGTATAGCATCGATTACAACTTCTAAAATTATCTCTGCAGCAGCACCATTTTATGGAGTATGCGATTTGAACACATTCAAATTATCAAATGCCAATGGACCTATTCTAGCTTAATTTGGTCAAAATGATGACATGGTAGGATTCTCATCAGTTTAAGATGCTAAAAGATTAGAATTAACTGCATAATAGTAAGGAAATAAAAGTTTGCAAGTGAAAATATGGCCAGGAGTTGGACATGCTTTTTGTAACTAAGATAGACCTGAAGTTTATAATTAAGCCATAGCTAAATAAGCTTTAGATTTAGCAGCAAAGTTTTTACATGAAAATTTAAAATGATTGCATAAAAATATTCAATTATTTAATGCACATAATCTAAGATTTTATATATTTAAAAATAATCATACGTTTTGACATCAAATAAACTTCTTTTAAAATTGTCTATTTATTGTACTCTCATATTTTCTTAATATAATTATAGCTTTTTTAAAAAATCCAAATTAGCTTATTGACAATTAGGATTTTTATTTGCAAGTTTAAAAATCCTTCTCTTATGTTTTACAAAAGTTTTGAATCTAAAGCAAATTGGCTTGATCAATTTATCAAATTCATTTCCTTCATATAATTCATATTCTAAGAATTTAATCAATAATTTTTAGTCTCATATTTTTCATGTGTTTTTAGAACCAATCTTAATTGTGATAAATAATCAAAATATTTGTATTTATATGCTGTTTACAATCAATTTATAAACTTGTTTAATTGAAATTAGATTTTCAGTATAAATTTTATTTAGGTAAATCATTTTATCTTTAGGGTTAAATATCACAATATAATTAATCTATCATTAATTTACGCTCTGTTACTTTACTTTATAACTCTAAAAAATAATAAGATCAAATTAAAAATAATAAATAATCAGTTATTATTAAGATTCAGATATTATAAAATAATAATAATAAAGATATCAATCAAAAACTATATGTTTTTTGTAATCATCTATTACATCAAGAATAAACTATAATTTTTATGGTTCATCTTGCATCACTGTTTTCATAGCCTAATTTATTACAATTCATATTTACTTATTAAAATTCGAAATAGGGTTATTCTCTTATTCTTAATCGTTTATGAAGTACCTCAATATCAGTTCTTTTATAAAAGTGAAGTCCATATAAAATTAAATTAAGCTTACATCTTAAATTTTATCCAACAGGTGATTCATTATCCTTATTTATTTATAAAATATACCTCAAAGACTTTGTATAATAAAGGTCTTTACATAATCTCATTTTCAAGTTTAGATGCAATTCTATTGATAACAAACTATCCACCAAGTTATTTGATTGCAGTTTTTCTAGGTTTATTTAATAGTATTGGTGTGATTTCTTCCCAATCTTCTTCAAAATCACTTAATAAAATGGGATCATTAGTAACTTTACTTACTGCTTGCATAGCCTTCTCTTTGAATTTCTTAAAGACTTTTTCAGAAATAATAGTTTTATTCTTATGAATAGTTTCAATATCACTATCAGTAATTGATTTAACATTATCTCTGAAAAAATAATGAAAAACATTTTCACAATGAGCAGTAAATCTCTATTTGCCTCTTTTTTAAACTAAATCAAAAAGTATTGGTTCGCTTGAACACAATCGAACAAAATTTTCAATAAATTCTCTATATCCTCCAGGAGAATTGTTAATACATTCTTATAAAGATGATTTATTTAATATGGCAAATTTGTAAGTATCCATTTTCCTTAATAATATTCTAATATGTTTATATCTGATTCCTAATTTTTACAGTGTTGTTGACAAATAAAACTTAAAATTGGCCAATTAGACATGTGTAAGTTTATATTTAACATGTCTTTCTCTCAATACTTCAAGTGTATAATTTGGTGATTCAGTATGATCGATTAATTGGGCAAATAATTTTGCAAATTTAATTGCTTATTCTTCTAATTCTATTGCCTTAAAATATGGACTTAATGTATAATCCTTAAAGATCTTTTCATACATATTTTTAGCAATTTCATTAATTCCAAACTCCCCCCCAAATATCTCAAAATCACTCTTTTAATTTAATATTAATGGTTTAAAATTTTCTAATTTATAACATCCTTTAAATAGTAATTCAACTGGAGTCTCCATGTCCATAAATTGGTTTATAAACAAATACTTAAATCTAATAAATTATTCTTTTTTTATAAATAAAGGTGCATGGATACTTCTCATTCTAAATGGATCAAGCAAGATTTCTTAAGTGTATCCAATACCTAAAATACTTTTGTAAATATCTTTTAAGTATTTTAATGATTTTCCTTAGAATTTCATTTTTAATTATCTATCTTGTATTATACGTGAATAAAGTGTTTCTGAATGTTAATCAAGTAATTCATTACTACCATATTACTTTATCTAAGTTTTTATTATCTTCTAAAATTTTGTTTCAAAGAATTTACTGATGATTTCAGTTTAAGTCATTGGTTACTATTTTAATTCTCTATGGGTTGGCTGTATTCTAGGCTTTTTTAACTGCTCTAATTAATCTTGTACATTTCTTAACCCAACATAATTTGATGCCTTTGTTTTTGTTTATATAGGAGTAAACTTAAAATGGACAGGAGTATTTGGTAATACTATGACTTAAGAATCACTTATCATAGGTAAATGATATGTAGTTTTTGTAGGAGATTATTCATGACTTCGGAAATTCTTTGTTTTATTTATGAAATCTTTCATTGCTATTTGACATTAAGATGAATGCTTAATAAATAATTCATTCTATGGGTCTTAGCGTAAGAGTGTACTTAACTATTTTTCCCATCTTTGCTTTTTTGAATTAATCGGAGACCCTTGCTATTGAGTCAATCGACCTGGAAATTAGAATTTCATCTCCTCCTTTGTTTGCTACATTTGAATAAAGTCTCTAAATGTCATGCTTTTACTATCCTGTTTTAAATGTTCAGTGGGAAATTTAAAAGGACATCTAGGAGATGTTGTAAGATTATGCATCATTATTTTAATAATAATATATATATTGATAATTAAGTATGAGTACAAATATCAGAATTCCTGCAATAATAACTAATTCTTCATCAATAAATTAAGCATAAGTAAAATACTCACAAATTTAACTATCTAAAATTAACACATAATTTATTTAAATCAATTTTATTAATACTTTATTCCAAAATACTAAGAAATATTGTAATTGCTATAAAGTATGGGTTATTAATAGCAAATTTTTGTTATAGAAATTTTTAAAAAATTGCAAAGAAGATGTAACATAAGTTAATTTAATATATAATTATTTATGCTCTTTAAATATAAAAATTGATACATTAATTTAACGCTTTCCTTAAGATATAGGAAAAATTACTTATAAATATTTAACATTACCATAAAGTATATAATATTGTATCTTAAGTGCTCTATTATCCAATTAATTTATAAGGTATCCTTTATTTAAAGTATTATGTAATTTAAATAAAATATTAATTTTTCTATCAATAATCTTTATTCTAAGCTTATAGGTTTTTTAATAAAAACAAGATTATTTTTCAATTAATTAGTCCTATATTATCTAATAATTAAGATATTATTCAATCAAGTTTTTTTTTTAAGTAGATACAAATAATTTAACTATTTTTTACTTTTTATATTCTTGACTTATTATTAGATAATTCCAATAGATATATTATAAAATTATTTAATAATACATTTAAATATTCAATATATTTAGGTACTATCTAAGTTTTTTAAAGCTCTAGAACTAAATACTTTGAGATTGATATATACCCATAATAATTGAAAGGCTAATGATTATTTTCACTTTTTAATTTATATGTATTTGATATTCCTGCCTATTAGTGATTGAATTATTAAGAAAATTACTAGTTCTAGTAATTACTTTATGTTGGTACCTATTATATTTAATATTGCTATTATTATTAATATTAATGTTTTTATAATTATGATTACGAGAGTTGTTATTGTTATTATTGTACTTACTGTTAATATAATTATTGTTATTATTACGATTATAATTATTACTATTATTATTATTACGATTATAATTATTACTATTATTATTATTATTACGATTATAATTATTACTATTATTATTATTACTATTATTGATATTATTATTAATTATAAATTGATTGCTATTATTGATATCCATATCCTGCTTATTAATTTTTCAATTATGATTGAGTCATTGACTGATTTTATTATTATGTCTGATTTTATATCTATGTTTAACTATCACCACCAATAAGCATATTCCCTACATTTTGATAATTAATTCTTTATTCATTAGATTGATGTGAATATCGTTGAGGTGCATAGTCTTTTTAAAATTGATTGTAGGGTTCTTTATAAAAGATATTATCTTGTCCTAAGTATAAAAAATTGTGATTGTATCGCTATGGATCTCTTCCAGATGGACTAGTAATTTAATAACTGATAAGAGGTTTTGTAAAATTTTTGAGAGGATCAGCCCTATATTAAATAGATTATAATACACATAACTATGATTCTTAAGTAATGACTAACTGATGATCTAAGAAGGAGGTTCAATCTTTCGAACTCTAGGACGTTCATGTAATCTTTGATCATCAGGATATTAAACAGGTTATTTACGTTTATTTCTTTAGCTAATTTCTTCCTAGAAATTTCGAACATAAAGCTCTGGGTCCTGCATTAAATTAAATAAATCAATATTTTTTAATGTTTTTGAAGAAAAGACTTAATTAAATATTTCCTTCAACATTTCAGGGTAATATATAAATAGAGATGAGAATAATATAAATAATCGAATATTAAAAATGCAAAATTTAATGAGATAATTCAATATACTAGTTTATTATTAACCCATCTGCCATCCATGATTTTACCATTCATACAATAGAATATTCCAGGGCCATTTATGAAATCTTTCTAGAAAGTACCTACAAATCTTTCTCCATTTGTTAAATAAAGTGTTCCTTAACCTTCTTTATTATCTTAATCAAAATTTCCACTATATTTAATCCAATAACTAATAAATATATAATTATATTATACTCTTCAACATTATCAAAATCTCTATAATCAAATGATTCTTATAATGGTTATGGATGCTCATTATATAGAGTACCATGACCTTAAAACTAATCTTCACTCCATTGACCTTAATAGGCAGGTTGTCCTGTTGCATAATATAATGTTCCTAAAAATGAATTTAATCGATTTATTACCATCTCCATGCATTTTATTTTCTTTCCATCCTCCATCATATAATCCACCATCTTGATAATAAAACTTACCTTAACCATGTCTCATCCCATTGGCTTTCATTCCTTCATAACGAGATCCATTTGAATAATGTTCAACTACAAATTCTGGTCGATTGACACTGTCTGCTTTGAATTAAGGAATATCATATGGTAAAGAAAATTCTTTAGTTTAGGTTGTTGTAATTTATTAAGGAAGATTGGTTGAATCACTAAGAATTTTAGAAAATTTGAAATATTCCTATCTTTAAGTGGTTTATTCAACATCTTCATCTGGTTATGGATCAATATTTTCATCAAATTATGATTATTTACTTACAGTTTCACTAGGTTATTTGAATTGTAAAGTATCACATTAATCAGGTTGCAATGATAAGATTGGAGTAACTTATTTTTAAATATTGTTAATAGTTTAACTACTGAATTGATATTCTTATACTTATTAAGTTGTATAATTTAATCTAGATTATTATTATTATTATTATTATTATTAAGTAATAGTTCTAGTATTTTACATTTTATTTGATAAAGGCTTTGGAGGAAAATATATTTATTTAACTTATCCACTCTTATTACTAAGAATAGATAAATCTGTAGGAATTGTTGGAACAGCATAAGTATAAGTTTGATTAACATCCTTACTACTTTATCTTGATCCTCTTAATCTTGGAACTGAACTATCTCTATTATCTCTTACTTAAAGTTATTATTGAGGTACTAAGATTTTGCTTAAAGGTGTTAGACTTCTTTATGAAGTATCAGTTTTAATTGTATATTAATGGACATATTCTAATGGTGAAATATTTTAAACTTATTAAACTCTTCTTGATTGAATTTACTATACACTATTAACTTATGTTAAACATGGTTGAATTGTATTATTAGCAACAATTGTATGTTATTGTAGTGTTTATATGGTATTCGATTAATAGGTAGGATCTATAATTGGAATAATCTACCTTTAAATAATATTAGGAATATATTATTATTTATTTATAACTTATTATTAATTAGTTATATATTATTCCATCTATAAGAAATCTGGTCTTTAATCTTCTTTAATAATTAACATTGTAGTAATCCAATCACAAAATTATTATCCATATCTCATTTTCAATTTTTATAATTTACTATTCAAAACATCTTCAATTAATAAACCTTGTTCATATGAATAACAATCTGAACTTGGTTAATTTAATGCCAAATGTAGAAAGAGCATACCCAAAGTAAATAGATCACTCTTGTATTCATTATGTTTAGGTTACCAATTGTTTAATTATATTGATTTCACCAATATTGGGGATAAATAAATACATTCCAAACAATTTGGATTTTATAATACTTACATAAAATTTGTACTATGTTGAAAATACATTGGATCTGTAACTTTTATTATTTCATCCATCAAATATAAATATTTGAGTTACAGTGAATTATGTGGGATCTCATTTTTCTACATACATGCTAATCCTGCAACTGCTTGTTTCAAATACTAAACTAATTATGTTTCATTTAAGGCTGGTACTAACTCTAAATTACCAGTTGGATATTCAAAAAGTAAATACACTTTATAGAATTGTCCACAGAGTTATTACTCAAATTAGTAAAAGTAATTGCTCAGATTAAGCACATTTTAATGATTGATCTTATGTCTTACTTGGTATTATTGGACAGCCTTCTTGAAGTGAACTTCATCTGTTATATTTAAAGTACGAAGAATCAACTTCTGATGAGGATCTCGCTTATGTTATAGGATTTGACACTCAGGAAAGTCTATGATCATTTACTTTATGACATACCATTGTTATAAACATTAATCTATCGGAAGTGATCATAAAGCTTAGTGATTGGTTTTGAATCGGTGGCTCCCATTTTTGATTTCAAAATATAATTAACTGCCTATATAATATATACATCATAATACTATAATGATAATGTATTAAATATATTCATTTATAAATAAATATTTTGAATAATCTAATTATCATACATAAAATACAATTAATTGATTCATTGTACATATATATATATCTTATATTGATCTATTAGGTAATCCAAAATAATTATATAATTTTAGAAAGATCTTTTTAATATTTATTTAATAGAGTATTAAATATGATTATAAATATAAATAGATATCTTAAAATGTTTATGATAAGTTAAATTAAAACCAAAAAAATAAACAAAATGATTTAGTAAAAATAAAATTATAATAATTTATTCTAAAGTACATCACTATGGAGTATTAATACTATTACGAAACTCTTGTTTGACTAATTATACAAAATATGGACAATTAGTCATATGTTTTCTGATGATCCTTAAAAGTATAGATTAGTCTAATTTTCTAATCTTAATTAATTTTTCAATTTATTCTAGAAGATTTCTTTAAATTAAGTAATATTTATTACTCATTGTTCAATTAATTATATAATTATGGAGATGCAGAAATACTTTGATTGGCTTTACTAGGAGTTTAGATTTATGAATATTATGAAAATTATGAAATTTATGACATATTAAGTTTAGGAGTTGAAAATTGAGATTAAGTACATCTTTTTCTTGATTATGAATTGATCATGTAACCTAATTAATTGATATTATCAGCACATCTACTTTGAGCCTATTTTATTGTATAGTATGATACTTAAATTAAGTCTTCTATTAAATCTTTATAATGATTGGTTTGAATTGAACTTGTTGATCTATATTTCTCTGTTTTATTCAAAGATTTCAATTAATCTATTTCATACTTTCCATCTAAAATGTCAGAATAGCGAATATATTCTTAACAGTTCATTAATATTAATAATAAATATGGATTGTATTCGTTTCTGGACTGTTATTTTTGGATGTGGATTCATCTTATTTGTAATGAAGCATTATTTAATTGTAGTTGTCTTTGTTCCTTATACTTAAATACTAAATTGAATTTTACAGATATCCTGTAAAGAATCAAACTAATTCAGAGACTACAGCTATAGTATCAGCATGTGTATATTTGGCTTTGAGTATTGGTTTCATAATTTGGGGAAAGAGGAAGGCTGATAAGCATAAATTAGAGATTTAATATAACAATTTACCAGCTAATTAATTTGAAGCAGCTCCTGAAATAGAGAATGAGAAAAAGATGGAATCATGAAAAAAAACTATATATATTTACAATCATAATAATTTATAATATTATGTTATTTCATTTTTTTATACTAGGAAGTTTAAATTACTTCTTAATATCACAAATACTCTTAGTTGTTGGTGTTTTTGATTTAAGAACAGGCTTTTTCAAAGTAGATGCTGCTTCTAAGAGGGGACTCTTATTAGAATCAAAATCAACAGATTTCTTAACAAGAAGTGCTGTTTAAGTGGCATTATTCTATATTTAAGGTTTTTTAATGAGCATAGTTTAACTGTGCATATTAGGAGTAGTTATCTTAATTTTTGTAAGGGGATACTTCTTTTTGTATTTGGTTAAATAATCATTTAAATCTATTTTATTAATTTCCAAATCATCCCTTTCTTAATCTAATAGTAATTATCTCTATTTTTAATCATTCTTATAGATCTACTCTTCTTTTTCTAACATTTATTGATCCTTTTAATTTAAATAGTTTTCATCATTTGGTTTAAGCAACTCTTATTTAGTTTATTAGATCATGTATTAAAAAGAACGAGATCCACTTAAAATACAATCTTGTAAGGCATCATTGAACATATTCAAAGTAGATGCATCTTCAGAATCAATCTTCTTATATAGGATAGGTAATATCTAAATAGAATTTTAATGGAATTATACCTTGATTAATCTCATTCTAACATTAAGGATTGGATCTTTTGAAAAGATTAGTATATCATAGAATTAATATTATTTGAATAATTTTCTAGAGATGAATTAAGTGAATTCTTAAACTATATCAATAAATATGATTCTATTAAAGTAACTATCAGATTTAAAGTAAAGTTCAAATAGTTAAATAATCCAATCTTTTCTCTTTCTTAGATTTTCTAAGTTACTTAAGTACTTTGCAATATTTAGACAACATAATTATTTAGTTTTTGGGATTCCTTTACTTATTGTAGTAATCATTGTATTTAGAAATATATTGATATCAGGAAATATTTATTGACATTCTGAAAATTTAGATAATAAATCTATTTATAGATCCCATTGATTTTTGACAATGAGATTATTTAGTAATTCAATGGCTGGTTGACCAAATTGAGGTTGTTACTGTCTACGCATAAGATAAACAAACTACTTGTTTTTAGAATGAATTGACAATTGAATCAAATCTGAATATTAACAATTGTAAAACTGTTTAATATTTAGATTTCATGAAATTTATGAAGACTTGTATTAGAATATCTGTATTTTCAGATAAGAGTACAATTTCATGAAAACTACTTAAAAGAGTTCTCTAAAGTGTTTCATTGGTATCATTGCAACACAACATATATTAATCTTGGAAAAATTCAAATTTTTTTAGAGTTAGTGAAAGTATGGCAGGGAAATTAGATATAAAATTGATTCTGACATCTAAATTTTTACTTTTAGCATATGAAACATAAATATTTAAAAATAAAGATATTTAATTAATATTTAAATTATCTTTAACCTTATTTAAAAATAAAAATAATTACCAACATATATATTCTACCACATACTTTAGACATTACTACTTTACTTTCTTCACTCTAACTTTATATTTAATCTATGAATAATTTAGTACATCTATTTTTTATTTCATCAATTGATAATTGATTAGCAATAGTATAGAATAATCTCATTCCTGAACTCTTTACAATAATATCAGTATCATAATATAATTCCATGATCTTTTCAAGTAAATAACATTCAATTAAATCACTAGATATTGATTAACACACTTTCACTATTACATCTTCAGCCATAATTAATCTAATTTCCTTATCATGATCTGAACATAAATTTCTAGCTCTATCTAATAAAGGTCCTTTGATTTCATTTCCCAATAGCTTATATTTAATAAATTAATTTACTTATGCTAATGTACCTATGAGTTTTGCAGCACTTTAACGAGAAATAGTTGGTTATGATGCATCAGTCAATAATAATATTAATTATTATGTTGGATTAAGGATAATATTTAAACTGATAACTCTAAGTAATGCATTCATAGTATGTATCCATTCATTCAATACAGGTAATGACCAAATTTTAAGAATTTATGTAGTCAAATCATATATTTATAGTAACTCCATTACTTAAAGTTCATTATCTTTAATCAATTTATGTAGAGACTTGGCTGCAATAATTTGATTTTCCTCTTCTTGTTATTGAATCTCCTCTCTTTAATATAGATTATATCATACACAATAACTTTGAACAATATTTCAAATGCATTTGGTTCTTTTAAAATTCTATGCAAGTTTTAATATATCTATCAATATACAGTATATATTACTGCCCTCTTTTACAATTATTAACCCTTAGTCAATATGTGATATGATCTCTAACATTCACTTAAATCCTCTTCTAATGTTAATTTCTTTAGTTCATCTTCACTCTATAATAGAATACAAAGTTTCTTACTTTTGTACTTGTCTTGTATTCTTATTCAGGGAAAAACATGCAAATTTTAAATAATAATAAATTGATAATAAATATTGATAGGATAAGAATGTTAGCTAAATTAAGATATAAATGTGATTTTTTGTATTCACATTTTTTATCCAAATGTTTGAAACTATTTTTTATTAGCTTCTTTCATCCTTTCTTATTTAATATGATTCTTATAAAATTAAATGCCTCCCAAAATATCTTTCTCTAAATTCTATAATCCATCCCTTATTATTTTAAATGTTGGCCTTATTTCATATTCACTAATCATCTACAAAATCAACTTTTAAAATATGCTCGAATAACCCAAACATAATAACATATCACACATTCTCTAAACCTACTCTTTATCAATTACTTTCTTCTACCAATTATAATAAGCAGATGAAGCTTAATATATATTATAAATAATATTTACATTATTAAGCAGCTAATTCTAATAATATCAATCCCAAAGTAAATACATCACACTTCACTCCACTCATTTAAGAACTAGGAATTGATTATTTTAATTCATCTAATTATTCAGGAGGCAACAAATGAAATTCATCTAATATAAATGCCTTACTATATGCATCTGGATGATTAGGTAAGAAACTATGTTCCTTTCATTTTAATCAATTTTATTACTATCAACTTTATATTCTCTGAATCATCCAAATATATTGTCTAAGTCTTCAAATCTCCATGATATAATCCTTTCTCTTCTAAAAATGCACAAGCACTCACTATTTGATAAGTAATCAACCATAATCTTGATTCATTAAACATAAATGATTAAGTAAAACTTATTCAATTCTATAAATACTTCTATTCAGCCTCTGAATTTAAAGTCATCTAATAATATTCACCTATTATTATTGCTTAAGACACATCAGCACACATCATTGAATTACTATTTTCATGAAAATGTAACAATCGAACTAAATTATCATTTTTCCATTATTTTCTATTCTCAAATCTTTTACAATAACTTTCAATTTCCTATTTTGAAGTAGTTCCCATTTATATTTCAAATACTCTAATTTTCTTTCTTACATTCAATTATATTTACTTTATTCTATTTATATTCAAGTATTCTTATATTTCCCAATTAACGATGAGACAGATTTTGACAAAATGTAAAATCTTTCATAATCTATTAAGATTTCTCATTATCTAAAGCATTCCCCATATTAATTATATAAATTTATATTAAATATATAAAATCAATTGTTCTAACATTATCAATATAGATAAGTAATTAATTATAGGTTATATATATTTTTTAAATATATATAAAACACCTTAAATAGAAATATAGTGATGAAAATTAAACTATTTTAAAAAATAATCTTAATGAATATTTATTAATTCAATTAATACTAAATTGTAATAATAAATATTATTTTCATTTTATTATAACCATTAGGTTAATATATGTTGTATAACATCAATAGAAATATAAAAAGTTATATTTCTATTATTATAAAAATTTCATAAATTTAATTAATGAATTATTAAAAATATTTCAAATAAAAATTAAAGTAGTCTTCTTTATAATTCATTTCTTACTTAATTTAACATTAATGATTAATTATTAGTCACAAATTAGAAATCTAAATAATTTAATTACAAATTATAATTTAATAGATTAATAAAAGAGAATTTCTTATATTTACTTAAAAAGGATTTTATTCTTTGTACAAAGTTATTTTTTTCCATTTATTTTAATTAACTTAATTTATGTATTTATTTATAAATTAATGATATATCTTAAATAATTAAATATAAAATATTGAAGAAAAAGTATAGAAATTTAGAATTATTAATTAGTTAAGATAATATATTTTATATTCATATTTTGGTTATTATTGATTTCATCTATTTTATGGTGCTCTACAAATAGGGCAACTAGGAACTAAATTTTCTTAACGCTAAGTAATTTATAAGATTATACTTTTCTTTAAAACCAACTAGTAATACAGTCAGAATGGAATATATGAGATGGATGGCATTATAATTATTAAATATTGGTATTCTCATTCATATCTTCAAAACATATTTAACATTAGACTTATTCATCTTCAGCATTTATAGCATTTTATCCTTAAAAACCATTTTGTCTTTATTCATTATTCTAATCAACTATTAAATCATGATGTAATAAATCTATATACAATCCTTATTAACCCTCTAAATTATTATCCCCCAAAGATTATACTTATCTTTACAAATCTAAGAATTATAATCTAGTTGCTCTTCTATGTAAGGCTCTCATTTTATAATATTATCTAATTCTTCTTGGCATTTCTATAATAAACCCTAGAGTAACAAGTAATAAATCCCAAAAAGTTACACAAAAGAGTATAAATACTTTACCACCTATATCTTCTTATTAAAATCGTTATTCAAAAAAATATGAAATTATTACACCAGCCGATAAAACAAGATAAAGGAAATCTTTAGATTCACAACAAAAATTGTGAAAACACATTTTAATACTTGTATAAAAGACTGAACATTTAGAAACATGATTGCGACATTCTAAATGTTAAAATATTAATAATACCATCTTTTATCATTTCTTCTAATTCTTAATCTGTATATTACACATTTACTCTCTANTAAAACACCTTAAATAGAAATATAGTGATGAAAATTAAACTATTTTAAAAAATAATCTTAATGAATATTTATTAATTCAATTAATACTAAATTGTAATAATAAATATTATTTTCATTTTATTATAACCATTAGGTTAATATATGTTGTATAACATCAATAGAAATATAAAAAGTTATATTTCTATTATTATAAAAATTTCATAAATTTAATTAATGAATTATTAAAAATATTTCAAATAAAAATTAAAGTAGTCTTCTTTATAATTCATTTCTTACTTAATTTAACATTAATGATTAATTATTAGTCACAAATTAGAAATCTAAATAATTTAATTACAAATTATAATTTAATAGATTAATAAAAGAGAATTTCTTATATTTACTTAAAAAGGATTTTATTCTTTGTACAAAGTTATTTTTTTCCATTTATTTTAATTAACTTAATTTATGTATTTATTTATAAATTAATGATATATCTTAAATAATTAAATATAAAATATTGAAGAAAAAGTATAGAAATTTAGAATTATTAATTAGTTAAGATAATATATTTTATATTCATATTTTGGTTATTATTGATTTCATCTATTTTATGGTGCTCTACAAATAGGGCAACTAGGAACTAAATTTTCTTAACGCTAAGTAATTTATAAGATTATACTTTTCTTTAAAACCAACTAGTAATACAGTCAGAATGGAATATATGAGATGGATGGCATTATAATTATTAAATATTGGTATTCTCATTCATATCTTCAAAACATATTTAACATTAGACTTATTCATCTTCAGCATTTATAGCATTTTATCCTTAAAAACCATTTTGTCTTTATTCATTATTCTAATCAACTATTAAATCATGATGTAATAAATCTATATACAATCCTTATTAACCCTCTAAATTATTATCCCCCAAAGATTATACTTATCTTTACAAATCTAAGAATTATAATCTAGTTGCTCTTCTATGTAAGGCTCTCATTTTATAATATTATCTAATTCTTCTTGGCATTTCTATAATAAACCCTAGAGTAACAAGTAATAAATCCCAAAAAGTTACACAAAAGAGTATAAATACTTTACCACCTATATCTTCTTATTAAAATCGTTATTCAAAAAAATATGAAATTATTACACCAGCCGATAAAACAAGATAAAGGAAATCTTTAGATTCACAACAAAAATTGTGAAAACACATTTTAATACTTGTATAAAAGACTGAACATTTAGAAACATGATTGCGACATTCTAAATGTTAAAATATTAATAATACCATCTTTTATCATTTCTTCTAATTCTTAATCTGTATATTACACATTTACTCTCTAAGTTTCATTTATTAAATAACTCATTGTAAGTACATATTAAGTTTATCTCATTGCCAAGAACTAATTAATAAAGACAACTAACATCATAAAGTAACCAATTATGAGTTCTGAAATATAAATAAGTTAATAGAAGGTATTAGAATCCAATACAAAGCTCTTACAACTAAATATTAAACCTAAAAGACTGAAACATCCTAATATAATATTCTTCCATCTAAAATCTCTGATTGAATGAGCACAACTTGTACTTATATTCATAAAATGAATCTATTATTATTAATTTATATATATACTATATTCAAACAAATTTAGATGTTCTTTAGAAATAATAATACAATTATTTAAGTTTTGTTGTATTCATTTTAATAAAGGTTTATTTTTAGTAATAGATGAGATATTAATAAATTAAATAAGACTGCTCACATTATATTAATATAAAAAATGAATTAATTGGTACCAATTGATTCAACCTTGTAAGCCAATTTAGAACGTCTTAGTTATTTGATGGCCTAGAAGAAAGAGAAGAAACCTGACTTTAGAGATCAATTTCAAACTCATTCAAACACTAAGAAAATATTCGTTAATTTGAGAGCATTTGTCAAATAACCCCAACCTCCTTCTCCTCCATCTTAGAACCAGAAAAAAGAATAAAAAATTCCTTCATAAACAATTACTACATAAACTTAGACTCCAAAAACCCCCACTTATAGATAATAATTCATAAGACCATAGTCATTAGCCTAACTAGAACCATGTATTAGAAGGCAAGAAATATCTACAAGTAATATTATGAGTGAAAGGACTAATACTAAAGCATGTTATAAGAATTGGGTGGGTTTGTCAGTAATAGAAAGAAATGATTTATTTCTAAAGAAAAAGCAATAAAAATTAAAGAAAATGAGAGAAGATAAAGATGAATAGGAACTAAGTAAATGTACCTTTTCTCCTCATTTTTATAATCAAATTCATATTGAAAGACCATCTTCATGTTTTTAAAATAAATCTTATTAGGATATTCACAAATTACGTAAGAATCAAAATGAAAAATTATATTGATCAAACTATTTCCACTTTTTATTAAATAAAAATAATAATAAGACAGTTATACCATATATAACCTTATTATAAATATTTATATATGAATTGATTTTCAAATTATCCATATCTTCTTTGAATATTCAGAAGAATTATTTTCAGATTATCTAGATGCAATTTTAATACGTCCTTAATTTTATTTAAACTAAATAAATAAAAATAACATTAATACTTATCTTGATTATTTCATTTCAACTAAAGTAGTATATGGTAAAAATTGTTTTAATCTTTCTGGCTTAACTTCTAATCTAAATCGATTAATATCTTCCATATTAATTGCATAATAATCCATGTATTCTTCAAATACATTAACACTATGATATATAAGAGGATTACTCATATTCAGTGTCTATTTTTGGTTTGATTTGGGCACCATTATAATATTTCTAAACTTCTTTTAAAACAACAGATAAATTATTATGAGTGCAATAAATTTCAAAATCATATCCAAATTCAAAATAATCAATTAAAGAATAATTTTGTTAACTTTTATTTTAAGTGAATAGATTTTCTTAATTTTAATTTTCTTTTTAAACTTAATATTCTAATATAATTTCATCTAATTTTTATTATATAGTTTCTGAATCACTTTATTCATCTGAACTTTAATTTTCATTAATTTTAGTATGACTTATACTACTACTTTATAAATTTATAGATGGTGTTGATGATTAAATTAATTATGAAAGAGATTTAGTAAGATTATAAATATCATTTTGTTTTTGAGTAATCATTTAAACTTAACTCTATTATGCACGTATAACTTTTTATATTTCTCTTCTTCTATTACGATCTTCTTTAAATTTTGATTTAATTTTAACAGGTTAAGGTATGCTTTTAAATTGAATAGTTTTAAATTATGCATCTTCTAAATTACATTCTTCAACAATAAATCCAGTCATTGGTATTACAGTTTAAATACTTAATGCTTCTTTCTTTATTAAATACTAATGTTTAATAGCATTAAAATGTATTCTATCTTTTCTTACATATTCTTTCATTATTTATCTAATACATCTATTCTTTGTTTTATTATAAATATAAAGATCTACAATAAAATGTAATTATGGACAATCTCTTACTACATGTCCTGGTAATTCACATGCAAAACAATGTATTTAAAGTACTTAATATTAATGTTTATTAACTTCTTCTTATATTATATAGAATTTCTCAAAATCTTTAGGATATTTTTACAATATTTATAAAAAACTCTCTCTTTTTAATACAAATAAATCACTAAACCCTTCACTTTTAGCAGAGGCAGTTCTACCTACATTTCCAAAAAAATTAATTTCTCCAAAAATTTATTTATTAGTTAATTTAGCTACTACTTATCTTGTCTTAGGTAATACTATATTAATTAAACCATCTTAGATAAAATATAAATGATGTGAATTTTTAGGATTATCTTCAATAATTATATATTCATCTGGTTATGCAGTTTATTCAAATAAGATTTAAGTAATATCTAAGAGAAGAACACGTGAGAAGGTTTTACAGAAATTTGTATATGTAGCTAATATATTACCATTAACATGAACAGTTAATAATTACTTTAATTCTTAAGATAGATTAACAGTAATAGCATCTAATTTAATAAGTCTACTTGAATCCCAAATATATTATAAATATTTTCTTACTCTTTATTAAAGATGTTTTGGTATTTTTACTTTTTGCATATAATTATTAATTTCAGCAATATTTTTTTTTTATTAATCTTTTTTTTAACTCATTTATTACATAGTATTTCCTATAGAATTCATTGTAAATGATAATACTCCACAAGCTACCAATAAAAAGAATATTCCACATAATCTTTCTGTTGTTGTTTAAGGTGAAATATCTCCATAACCAACAGTAATCATTGTAGTGACAGCCCAATAAATTGATGTAACATATCTTACTTCAACAGGGGAATCATAAATACCAGCTACAACTAACCAATTATGATTAGGATCTTCATTCATTCCTACAAAATGAAATATACATCCTAACCAATGTGACCAAAATAATACAAAAAAACTCAACTTAAGGAAACTAGCAATTGTATTAATAGTAGTATATGTTTAAAGTTATTCTTCAATTTTATCAAAAATAACTTTTAATTTAGCTAATCTAAGTAATCTAATGATCTTAATAAATCTAAAGAATTTTAAAAGTCTCAAAATTTATGCACTTTATTGTAATGTCTTTGATTATCCAACATTCTTATTACTTTAATCAGTTTCATCAGCATCTGATAATAATATTGATTCTATGATCTAATTATTATTTAATATTATAATACCATATCATATGGAAAGGATGCAATTAAATCTAACCAAAACCAAAGTTTCATATATTGTCTAAATATCACTGAGTATTGAAAATTGATGGTACCTTTGATCCAGACAGCTGTATTAAATGTAATTGCAATATCAATCAAGAAAATAGTTGTAATAAATGTACTTAGTTCTTCACTTATTTCAAAATCAAAACTAATTCTAAAAGGTATGGACAAAATTTCATAAAAAATTAGAAACATACACATAAAATCCCAAATAATTTTAAGTGTTCCATCTGGTGAAAATACAATAGATTCTAAAAATGTTAGTTTTTTTTTTGGTTTTGTTATTTGTTATATTTGATTACTATTCTTCATAGATGAAAGTGCCATTGTAAGTGTCATTTCCTTAGACCTTTCTTTCTTCTCAACACAATGATCATTGTCAAAAGGAGTCTTGAAATCATACATTCGTTGTTCTTGTCTTGAATGATGTAATGACTTTTAAAATAGGAATCAATGAGAATACTTTGTCATTCAAAATATACTGTTCAGTTGGAGACAAACAAAGATAGGCTTTCCGATCAGATATAGACTTGTTAATGTATTCAAATCGTTTTCTTTCTCTTTCAGTATGTTTATTAAAGTGTTGTTTTTCTAAAAGGTTAGTCTTTAGAAATTTTTTAACAATAATTGACATTAATTAAATATGAGAACTACTCGCATAGCTCAAACTAAGCAACAAGGGAATTCAAATAAATTGACATCCATAAAAAACACTCTAAAGTTTCAATTTGATGATGAAAATGACAAAAACATAGATCGTACTACAAGTCCTTCTATAACTATAAAGGATTTGTGTTAAGAAGAAAAAGCAAAAATAGGAGATCTAATTAAAAGATTAGCTTAAGAATAAGAAGAAAATAAAAAGCTTTAAGAACAAATAAGATAAAAAGAAGAAGAATGTAAAAAATAAGTAAGTAAATACAAATAATAATCTGAATCAGCTAAAAAAGAATAAAAATAAACAGAAGAGAAATTTAAAGAATCATTAGAAGTTATAAAAAAGTTGTAATAATAGGAATAATTAATCTAAGAATAGATGCTTCTTACAAGAGTAAATAAATTTGATTCATTCACATAATATGAGATAGAAAACAAAGAAAATAATTCTAAAGTCTCTTAAGCTCCTATTATTACACCTCCAATACCTCCTCCTAAACAATAAAAGAGTGAGATTTTACAATTAAAAGCAGAAATAGAAGAATTTACTAACAGTTTGAAACAATTTTAGTTTGAATCTAATCGTTAAGAAAGATAAGAGATTTCTCCTATAAGAAAAGTAATTAAACCTGAAACAAAATAAGATAAACAAGTAGCTATTCCAAGACATTAGACACCTGTAAATGTGCCAAAACCTGATTAAAAGAAACATATTGAAGTATAAACAATGGATTCAGGAAAACGTATAAATCTACATTAAAATTCTGCAGATAAATAGATATAAACAGAAACAGAAAGTTTTGCAATTAATTCTCATACATCTAATTTTTTTAAAAAAGAAACTGAATAACATTAAGAAACAATCAAAACTCCTGGAACATAAAAAAGTAATTAAACAACAATTAGATTCTGTGATGAATTTAAAGCTTTGGAGAATAAATTAAAACAAAATCAAAATCAATATTATAATTGTAATAAAGATCTTTCTATATAATCTGACAGTTTCTTAAAGAATTAAAATATATAAGATGAATCATCAGATGATGAAGATGAATTTACTATAGCTTAAGAATTACTAAAGCGTAAAAATCAGAGAATATCACAACAATATTAAAAAAGATCATCAATAGGATCTTAAAAAGGGTAATAGATATCTGATGTTAGTTTGTAAAAATAATAATAATTCTAATAAAATAATAATTAATATTAATAATAATAATAATAATAATAATAATAATAATAATAAATTCAATATCCTTATTATCAATAATCTTTATAACAAACTTAATCAGCATAATAATAAAATTTAATTTAATCAAATTACTTTAAAACTAATACTTTAAGCTTCAATTTAACTAATTAAGAATATACACCATAATAATCTGTTTAAAAATCTTCCGAATAATTTGGATCCAGCGTTATGCAGACTCCACAATAAAGAGATATGATTACTCAATAGTTATAATTTTCTTAATAAGAAGAAGAAATTGATTCCGTTATTACTAGTCTCAATGGAAGATCTTTCAATAAACCTAATGTTTTATAATAAGAACAATATCCAATGATTGAACAATAATAGGAATCATATTCTTCAGAATCATCTCTACCTAGAGAAGAATATCAAAAACTTATTGATAGATACATGAAGGATAATTAAGATTCTGATGATGATTGAATATAATAAAGAAAACTATAATAAACAACAATTAATTTATATAAAATTTTCTAATGAGTCGAAGGTAAAATGCTAATGATGAAAACTTGAATTGGATTCTAAAATATCCAAATGAATTTTCATAAGAAGATTTTGAATCTTAACATATGCATGTACTTAAGTAAGAACAATTTGGGTAATTAAAAGAATCAGATGAAATTTTGAATGCATAACTTTATACATTTTGGAATGGAACATTAGAATATAGTAAATTTATATTAATGCCAAATCTATTAATAAAGGTAACCATTTAAAATACTCTGTTATAAATACCATAATCTTAATTTAATTAAGGAAGTGCTACATATTATTTATCCTTATCAGAGTGTACAATTACATAGAAAATGATTTAACACAGATCACAATAAGCATTTGGTATGCTCTTAACAAATTCTATTGGCACTACCTATTTATTCTTTTCCAATTTTGTAACATTTAGAACCTGGTATAAATAAATGAAACAATTTTGTAAATTAACAGGTTTCTTGGATAAATATAAGTTGGGTGACAAATTATTACCTGGATTCTATACATGTACAAAGAAAAAGAAGAAAACATAATATACTGTTCAGATTTATAAAAGTGATGATTTTGAATAATGTCAAGAATTAGAAGATGCTGTCTATAATGAAATATAAATATTGAGAAGTATTAAACATTAATCCTTACTGGAACTAAAGAGAGTTTATTAAAATAATAAATATCTTTTTATAGTATATGAATATTATAAAGGAGAGACCCTCTTTAATTTATTGAATTCTAATCTCTAATTACATGAAGTACAAATAGCATCTGTAATAAATTATAATAATAAATATAGATTATATATTAAATACTCCAAGTTGTAAAATTTCTTAATTAGCATCAATTTTATCATGGAAGTATCAATCCTTAGAATGTATTAATCAATTCATAGCATCAAATGCTTTAAATTACACTTATTAATCTCTCATTTAAGGAATATAAAGTTAATGATAAATTAGATTGGATTTTGAATAGAGCAGTTGAATCTTTCTTAGCTCCTGAGATCTTTGAAGGTATTGCACCAAATATATCAACTGATATTTATGCATTAGGATGTGTATTATATTTTATGACCTATTATGATTCAAAAAAATATGAAGTATCATAAACATAATTTAGTTATAGATTAAAAATGAAGATAAAGATTTTTATAATGTTATGGACAATTTTGAGATTTAAAATAATCGTATAGATGATAGTGAACAATTATTAAAAAATGGTTTCTAATAAAATTAATCAAAAAGTAAAGTTAGTTCTTCTTAATTGGATCTTTTAAGAAAAATGTTAGAAACTGATGCAAGTAAGTATTTTATAATATGAGATAAAAGATTAACAATAAAAGAAGCTACTAAACATCATTGGTTTGTGAATGTAAAAAGTAAAATTAAATCTTTAAAAGTGGAAAGAAAAAGAAAAAAGCCACTTCCAAGTTTAAGAACTATTATTGAATTAAGAGAAATGAGTGAAATGGATGTAAGAATGACAATTATTTAATAATAATAAAGTGGATTGAATGCTTTACATAATATGAGTTCTAAATTATAATCAACTCCTTCAAATACTAAACGTACATTAATTTACACTTAACAACCTTCTAAATTAAGTTAATTTGTTGCAAAAAATGAATTCGATGATGATTATGAAAGTAAATATTCTATTCTTAACATTCAGTCCCTGATGAAGATCTTTATTTGGAAGTCCCAGTGATAAATCGTAAAAGAGAACCAAAAAAGAGACCATCCAATATCATTTTGCTCTGAAAGATTTTAAAACTATTAAAATTAATTACAAATTAAATTATTTTTCTAAAAAATAATTATATTATATATATATTCAATCATATTTTGTATTTATGAAACACTTGACCATTTATTTACATTAAATTCATCTTAATCAATAAAAATATAATTATGAATTATTCTGATATGCTATTTATTGTCTACCTTCATCAACTAAATCATATATAATATCTGATATTAATTATGATTTTAATTTATGACATCACAATACTATTATTATATATTATTAAATATATTCAATATTTGAAGTATTTAATTAATTTTCACATATAATTAAATTGATAAAGTAGACTAAAACTGAGTTACAAGAATGACTTTTCTATTTTGGAATAGTTGCAATATTAATTGATTCAAATGATTGATAATAGACCAATCAAGAATTAAAGTATATCAATCGATCTTAATTTACATAGAAATAATATTATTAAATTATGATAATTGATATATTTGCAATTACGAAAAATACAAAAATTTTAATGTAATTAATCAAGTCTATTATTAATTTATTTTATTTAATATTATCAATTCAATCATTTAATATAAAAGATACATTATATCATTAATTAAAGTAGCTTTTTTTAGATTCAATTATTATTTATATTAGATTTACGTTTTCTTTAATCATTTTTCTATTTATAAACTAAACTATCATTTAATAAGAAATTATGTATCAATATATAAGATATTATTTAAATTATAAAATTATTCTTATAAAATTTATAGATTTCATTAATTGTTTAAAAATGTTGAATTATTAAAGTAAATAAAATCTTATTTGATTTAAGATTACTTATTAAATTGAATACATTTTTCTCATGAATATGAAGTGATGAGATTGAATGAAGTCTTGCAGAATCAAATTTATTTTGTAAATAATTTTTTTATTTGATTAATAAATTAAAAAACAAGGGAATATGGAGAATACAAATTATTTAAAACGAAGGTTTAGAAGTAGTGGATCACTTGATATGAGGGATACAATGTCGAGTTCTTAAGGGTTTTTTAGTACTAATAAACTATTTGTAAACTAATAAGGATTAAGTTCCAACATTTCTTCATCAACCCTAAGACATACGGCTCTCCAATTTTCCTTTCCTAGAGCTCATAGATTTAATTCTTAATCAGAATATAATGTTTCAATTTTAGATCTTCCAAGTTCATTAGGAAGTAAAACAACTTCATAAGGATTTGGAGGAAGAATAGAAAACTTCTAATGGACATGGTAAGAAACAAATGCAAAAGAAATGCCAAGTCCAAACAGATATGAAGTAAGGGAAATTCCTGGAAAAGATAAATTAAAAAGGTCTTTTGGTGGACCTTGGGAATTATACTCTAAAACATATCTACCCTACAATAAGCACTAAGCACCAGAAGTTGCCAAATTTCTGCCTGGTAATTATACAATGTTTAATAAGAGGTCCTGGAGAATATAAAGTAAGGAAAGATTTAGGTTAACATAGATATAAATTTTTATTGAAAGGAAAAGGAAAAATGATGAATGATAATCCAGATAATGGAGTTCCAGGTCCTGAAGCATATTCTCCTACCACAAAACTAACATCACCATCTCGATTTAAAGTAAAGGGATGATATTCATAAATTAGGATATCACATAAGGTATAGGTGAAAAAAAAGATCCTTTTCGATCAACTAGTACAACACCAGGCCCTGGTAAGTATGAAATACCATCTGCATTCTCAAAAAAACTTAGGGTAAGAGGAGGGGATAAGCGGGCTTTTATATGATAATAAATAATAACCTATTAAAAGAAATTATTTTAATAGATATTATAAAAAGATTTCACATTTAATCTCATCAAATTATTTTGATGATTTAATTATCATTTTTAAAGATTCATTTTTTATATAAATTTTAATTAGAAATTTAATAAAATATTATTAATCAAGCAAGATTAATTGGGAATGCTTGATATTTTTCAATTTTTATTACAAGAATCAGCATCAATTCAGAATTGAAAATTTGGAATGTAAAAATATAAACATGTATTAATACTTAATAAAAGTAAATTTTTTAAGTTCAACAAAATTAGATATTCTAATTATGTTTTAGAATAAAAGAAATGAATAAATTTGGAGAATCCTTCAAAAATGTTATTGATATATATTAAATGGTATTTTATCTATTTTCTAAATAAATAAACAATAGATGAATTTTTATTAATTTAGTCATATTTTTTAATGATTTAGACAGACTCTCAAGAAATTAACTATTATTTTATATTTATAAATTTATCATATAGTCTTTGATTATCTTCATTTTCTTAATAGTAAATATTAATCAATAAAGAATAGAGCATGATGCTTATTCATCAGTTTCTAAATTAGGATTTATAATTCTAAATATAGTAGCATTCATATAATGTCAATTATTTAAAGATAATAAAATCCCTTACTAAAACTAAATTTTGGGTGTTGATATAAAATATATATGTATAGATTTGAGTACCATATCATTATTAATATAATAAATAAATTTATAAATGTATATATTCTGTTATTTAAAAAGACTTCAAGTGTTGTTATAGTAAAGATGAAAGTATTAACCAATAAGAGATTAAAGAATGCCGAGGTTAACCTAAAAAATTTTTGGTAGTTAGAAATATCATATAATTATAATTTATTTCAGTTTGAACTCTGATAATAAAATATTTTTAATCCGTTTTGATGATAAAATACTTACTTTTAGTATGTTTGATTACAGCACCTTTTGCCTAAACACCTGAGGCTGTCGTAACTCATTATGATTTGGATGGAAATTTGATTTAGGAAGAGAGTTCATTGTAAGGATCTGAAGACATTGATAGCATGAATTCAATGAACATGAATTAATAAGATTTAGATTCAAGTAGCATGGATTTAATAGGAACTGATAGTATGGATTATTCTACCCCATAAACTGAATCTGTTGAAAGTAGCAATATTGAATAATCAATGAATTAAGAAACAACTGTTAGTAATATGAATATTGACCCTAATTCTATGTATGAGGAGGATTCTATGATGATTAACAACAATATTGATAATTCTATGCCAGAATAAGATTCTATGTATAGCACTAGTGATCCTAATGATATTAGTGCTATAGAGTCAAGTGAATAAAATATGGAGGATGCATAAG